CWKYSGGCCGCTCAGCCTCCCAAGCAACCGGTACCTCCTCCCTTTCGGAGGGAAACATCATTGCAGACTCTGATATTCCCCGTACAGGCTCTAGACTCAGACTGGATGGACTGGTACCGGCCTAGACCTAGCCTACCGCTATCGGGCCTCTAAAAATGGCAACTGTCTTCTTCTGCTCGGCCTCAAGTACCCGGCACATCTACTGCTACTGGGTGCGGTACCGGCCTACCTGCTACTTGAGTGTTTTTCCGCTGCTCTAAGTGTCGCGGGCCTCTGCCTCCGCCACTTGAGTGTTTTCCCCTGCTGCAGCCCTCAATGCCACAGCCACAGGTAAGCCGGGAGCTTCCACCTTGGCTATGGTGGAGCTCTACCGGTAGGAGGAGGAGGGAGAAGGGGACCAAGGAGGAGAGTGGCGAGGTACCTACCTGGCTATGGTGGACACCATCTTCATCACCTTGTTAGGCGCTGCATCTGGAAGGCCCCAGTTGGGGTAGTGCCGCATTAAGGAAGCTCGGGACAGAGTCAGGCATGGCAGTTGAGTGGGCAGCGGCATAGCTGCCTGTTGGTGACCTTGGGACAAGAGAGCAGCGACATAGCTGCTTTGGGTTGTCCTTTGGACAGGAGGGTGGAGCCCTCAGTGCTCCGCCATAGCCTTGGCTTATATGAAGAGGAAGAGGAAGGGTGGCCATGGTTATGGTGGACCTCATGTTGTGCCTGCATTAGAAGTGGGATTCGGACATTGATTCTGGTTCAGCCATTCAATATTATTATTGTTATTTCTTGTTTGAATAAGAGGGGAGGAGATTGGTTGGCGAAGAAGAAGAGCCTTGTCATTGGTCTATGCTGGAGTACATCATCTTCTTCTTCTTTCTTACTTCTTCTTCTTCTTCTTTCCCTCTCTCTCCTCTCAAGTTCATTAATTTCTTTTTGCAATTGGACGGCATTGTACTTTCTGATGAATGTATACTTCGAAATTGGCCAGGATCGTAACAATATGTTTGCTAGCAGGTTTACCCACATGTAGGCCCACACATTCCAGAGTGTGGCCTCCGTGTCCACCGGCCAAAGCCTTGCTTGGCCCGTGGTATATTGTCAGTGCAAGTGTGCGTGCACATAAGTATATATGGGGTAGGGTGGCGGGAACGGGCTGGGCTGCATGTCTTAGCCTGTTGTGTGAGAGCATGCCAGTTAGGTTTGTCTTATGTTTGTTCCCTCTTTCCATTTGGGATGGTCATCTCTTCAGATTCGCAGCGGGACTGAGTCCATTCCTTGTGCAACTGAGAGGGAGATTCTTGAGAAGCTTGGAATGCCATACTTGGAGCCCCATGAGCGGAACTGGTGACATCGTTCTGACTTCTAAGGCTTGCATTGGACATCCTCTCACGGTATGCTTCCCTTCCCCGGCTTTTATGTCAAACACTCTCATCTCTTGGCCTCCATGCTATCCACTTGGCTTGTCTTGCATCGATAGCACTTTACATCGTATGCTTGGCTTGACTTGGCCTGTGTGTACCATATGCTTGTTGATGGGGTTATTCTATACA